GGAAGGACAAGGGTCGGAGAGCATCAACAATAAACAAAAACTGAAACACTGAACACAAACCCAACCGTTTCAGGACTATCTTGAGTGTAGATGTGATACACGCTTTAAGGGAAAAGCAAAGGAAGGTACCAGGGTGATGCCTCAACAGGTAAACCTAAACTGTCAAGCTCAAGTGTGTGTGTGCATGAGCACACTCATACATGTACACACGTGTGATTTCTATAAAAGGAGGAGGAGCACTAATTGGAAATAAGAGACAAGGTAGTGGCCTTGCTTCTGATTATAAGGATTGTTGAATTCTAAATTACTTATTTATGGAATTCTATAGGTTCTCAGGTTTCTGAATAGTTTGAATGTATCCTTGTCTTGTATTCTAAACATCTTTGCAAAAAACATTCTTAAATTTAAATCTGGGAAGCATGATTAAAGTCTGAGAGTTTCATTTATTAAAACTACCCTGGGTTTTTACACAAATTGAGCTGGTTTTTCAGTGCCCAGCTTTGCATATGATTTGATTAGCTCATTGATATCTGTCAGTGGGTCACTCCTATATTCCTTTACAAGATGAAAAGTTCAGGCTCTTGATAAATTTTCTAGATTAGAAAAAAGAACCTTTATCCCATTATAGTTTATATCTTGATATCATTCCCTTGACAATAGCTTTCCCCCAGGAAGACTCCAAGTTCTGCCACTCCCTTTGTTTCCCAGAAAAGTAACCCAGTGCATGACATATGGCAGATAATTGGTAGCCACTTACCGGGATGTGATTCCTAGCCTTGGCTTTAATTTACAACTGTCTGTAGGATTCATTTACCTATATTTTATGTGTGTGTGTGTGTGTGTGTGTGTGTGTGTGTGTGTGTGTGTGTGTATGTATCCTGGCATTCCTGTTTGAGGAGGCTAGGAGAGGGTATCAGCTGTCCTGTTCTCTTGTTCTTCTTTACCATCTTGAGACAGGATCTGTTACTGAACCTGGAGCTTGCTGGTTTTTTTTTTTTTTTGGATAGCTGGGGGGTTAGAGACTCATGCAGCCACGCTTGGCTTTTATATTTGTGCCGGGCAGCCAAATTCAGGTCCTCAAGCTTGTGTATGTGGTAAGTGCTTGTACCCACTGAGCCATCTTGCCAGTCTCTTATTAAAAAAAATTAAACACTCACATATAAATTTTGTATAGTTAAATTTAGCTATTTTAAGTTGATTGTTTTATGAGTTTAACAAATGCACACATGTATATAACTACCACTGAAATAAATAGTTCCACCACTTCCCCAAATCTATCAAGTCATTTGCCATTTATACCCTCTTCCATTTCCATACAAACAGGCTGCATGCAGCCACTGATTTAGACTGTATCATTTTATATCAGTTTTCACTGTTTAGAATTTTACATGTTACATTTTATATATGTTACATAGTATCATCTGTACTTTGTTGTATATGGCCTTTTCTGTTTGTTTTGTTTTTTGTTTTTGTTTTTTTTTTTTTGGTTTTTTGAGACAGGGTTTCTCTGTGTAGCTTTGCGCCTTTCCTGGAACTCACTTGGTAGCCCAGGCTGGCCTCGAACTCACAGAGATCCGCCGGCCTCTGCCTCCCGAGTGCTGGGATTAAAGGCATGCGCCACCACCGCCCGGCTTGTTTTTTGTTTTTTTGAGATAGGGTTTTACTTCGGAGCAACCCTAGCCGTCTTGGAACTCTCTTTGTACTTGTGGACCAGGCTGGCCTTGAACTCACAGATATCTGCCTGCCTCTGGCTCCCAAGTGCTGGGATTAAAGGTGTGTGCCCAGCTTGCTTGTGGGTTCTTTTGTGGACATATTTTTTTTGAGATACATTTATTTGTTAACATGTTTTTGTAGCTTATTTCCTCTTAGCATTGAGTTCTAGTCTATCATTTCTATGGGCTACCTTTTTAATCTTTTGATTAATATTTAGTTGTTTCAATGTTTTGACTAATATTTGCAAAACTGCCATTGGTAATGACAAATAACTTACACCAGCTTTTTTGTGTGTATATACCATGGAGTGGAATGGCTGCATCATTAGGGCAGACATAAGAGAAACTTCTAATTATTTTGCATAGTGGTTTCAATATTTTCCTTCTTGTCAGTAATGCCCGAGTTCCTGTTACTCTGTATCTTCAATTACATAGGATTATGAGTGTTATTCATTTATTTATTTATTTATTTTGCAATACAATTCAGTTCTACATATCAGCCACGGATTCCCTTGTTCTCCCCCCATCCCGGCCCCCATTCCCACCTCCTCCAGGGCAAAGCCTCCCCCGAGGCCTGATATCAACCTGGTAGACACAGTCCAGGCAGCTCCAGTCCCCTCTTCCCAGGCCGAGCCAAGCGACCCTGCATAAGCCCCAGGTTTCAAACAGCCAACTCATGCAATGAGCACAGGACCCGGTCCCACTGCCTGGATGCCTCCCATTGATTTATTTTTTAACTCCAATAGCTAGATGGTGGTATCTCACTCCCATTTTAAAAATTTACATGTCTGGATTTCTGAATTCCCAGTCATCTCCATCTTACCAGCTGCCACCTTGGATTTGTAGTTTGAAAACGTAATGATTATACCATTCTACAAAAAAGTTAGGAATTAAAATAACAAACCATTAATCGAGCCGTTTTCATTCTCTTGGTGGTAAGGGCTGTCTTGTTCTTTGTTGCATTTCTAGCGTCTAGCATGCGTCTGGTGAATAATGTGCACATTTCTTATCTGTTGTTACGCAGTAAACTATCCTGAATTATACATCCACAGTGGGCAGGTAGTTCCAAGTTATAAAAGAAAGCATGTCACTAAGACACGGAAACAAAGCCATTATTTCTCCTTTGGTTCAGTTCCTGCTCTCAGTTCCTGCTCTCGCTTACCCCAATGATGGATTGTGATCCTGTCATGCAAGCTAAATACACCATCTCCTGGTGCTGGTTAACTAACTGTAAGGCATTTTCGTGATTGAAGACTAATGCAGGAGGACCCACTGTGGTTGGTACCATCCCTACACAGGTGGTCCGGGGTTGTATAAAAAAGGAAGCTGAATAAGTCAGTAGGCAGCCTTTCTCCAGGGCCTTTGCTTCCGTTCCTATCTCCAGGTTCCTGTCCTGCTTGAGTTCCTGCTATCACTTACCTCAAAGATGGACTGTGATCCGGAAATGTAAGCCAAACAAACTGTTTCCTCCCTAAGTCACTTTTTGTCATGGTGTAACAGCAATGGAAAACTAATTAGAACTCAGAGTTAACTGAACACAAACCTGGCAGTTAAGTCATGTGGACCGCGGTAGTTTTCAAGACCTGCCAAGCTGGTGAGAGTATCCGCTGTTCAAAAGGCCACGATGTCTTTGGGAATAAGATGATACGTGATCACAACACAAAAAAGGGTAAGAACGCTTATTCAGGTTGGAATTCTTAAAAGACCAGCCATATTTTAAAAATACATTTATCATAAATAATCTAGTGTGAATATCTCTGAAAAATCAACATTAAACTGAGTAGGTCAGCTTTCTATAATTTTTTTAAAAAAAGCAGTTGGAAAGCCCGCAAAGTTAATGAGGTATTTTCTTGGATGTCTCAATCAGAAACCAAATTTTTCCAAGGGAGGTGGCAGAAAATGGGCTTTATACATGCTTCTGGAATGCAAGAATGAAGGAGGAGTGGAGGCTCAAAGTCCTCCTCAAGAATGCAGGAATCAAGTCAGCAGAAACGGAGAAGCGGCAGAGCGGCAGGAATTAGGTAGGCACTGGCTGTAACTAGCAGGCCTAGGTGGTAATCCCGAGGTAGACATAAAAGCTGAATTTCTCCCCTCTTTAATTTAGAGGCCCGCCTGATAGAGATGCGATGGCTTGGCGTCCCTTCCCCTCTCCACTTGGGCAAAGTACCCTGTACAATTAGAAGTACTGAAGAGACAGTTAAAAAGGGTTCAGAGCAATCTTTGCCTTGGTCACTAAGCATGCTCAATTTGCAGTCTTCTCCGGATTTGAGCTGCGGGAGCACAGGGCTTCCGCTGCTGCTGGTTGGGGAGTCAGAGGAGACTCTTTAAACAGTCCATTGTTACTGTGTTTGCCCTAGACCGGATCAACAACTGTTTGTGAAGGAGTGTCTTTGGTTATTCTGAGATCCTGACTGGTGAACAACAGGAGAAAAGGGACGGATGGTTCAAGTGTCTTGGCCATGGTAATGGAAACGTGTCAGGGGCAAAGAAAGAGTCGTGCTCCTCACCCCCAAATCTATTACTTGGTTTGCGATCTCCCCCTTGTATGGAGCAGGGTGCTGTCCTCGAAGAAACACAAGAGCCAGGTGCAGGAGGCTCATCTGACCTGGACCGGTCCCTTCTGTACTTCTTCAGCCCACGTTAGGCCCCAAGGCACACTTGGCCGAGGGAGAACTGGCCCAGAAGTGCTCCTTTGCCATCTCCTTTCTTCCCGGAGCATCTTTTAGAAGATTTTGAAGACTCTGACACCTATGCTTTTGGTGGCACCAGGAAAGGGGTGACGCTTACATCTCAGATAAACCCTACTTACTGAAGATGCTCTCAGGACATACAGAGTGTGAGCAGACGCAGGGCACAAGGGGGGCTGGGGGGTCGGAAAGCCAGAATGGGTCCCAGCGCTACCCCGGGCTCAAGGTAAGCGGCGGGGCGGTACTTCCTGACCCCGGAAGAGAAAGTTGTTTTGGGGAAGGGGAGCGAGAAGGAGAGGCACGGTGAGTAAAACTAAAACTCGGAAGTTGTTCGGCTCCCTCTGGCCTTCGGTCCCTGCCCTCCTCCGGTCCATTTTGGAGCGCGGCTCCCTCCAGAGTCCCAAGCGGGGAGGCAAATCCCCGCGAGGAGGGGGCCCGCAGGCACCCCGATTCCCCGACCCTCCCGGGGAGCTGAGTCTCCAGGAAAACCCGGAGCGGAGCATCCCCGGCCGGGACACGCCCTCCGCGTGCGGCCGTGTGCGCATGCCCGGTGCGCGGCAGCCGCGAGTAGGAAGCGGAGCGCCGCGGTGGGGGAGGTGGGAGGGGACGCTCGGGCCGCGGCGAAGGCGCGGGACGCGGGCGAGGGTTCTCGTGGCTTCCTCCGGGCGTTCGGGACCGTGGAGCCCTTGCGAGGCGCGAGCGAGCCTGGGGCCGGCAACGAGCGCAGAGCGGGCCACGGGTGGGGAGCAGCGGGGCGGCCGGGCGGAGCGGGCTCCGAGCCCCGGGCTCCGCGGCTCGGGACACGGCTCCGGCGGCGGCGGCGGCGGCGGCGGCGGGGGCGGCGATGTTCCACTGCATTCCCCTGTGGCGGTGCAACCGTCATGTGGAGGCCATCGACAAGCGCCACTGCTCGCTGGTCTACGTCCCCGAGGAGATTTACCGCTATGCCCGCAGCCTGGAGGAGCTGCTGCTGGACGCCAACCAGCTCCGGGAGCTCCCCGAGGTGAGTGCCTGCCTCACCTGGCGCGGCGGCCCGGTCCGCGCGCTCCGCCGCCCACTGCTTCGCTTCGGCTGACCGTGGCCAGCGGGGGAACCACCACTGCACCCAGCCGCCCCTATTCCCTCCTTGCTTCCCCAACCCCATCCTCCAATAAAAGTTCTTTTTTTTCGTTTATGCCGAAAGACTTGGTATTTAACAAGTAGTTACTTGGCGAGGGGAGAAAGGTTCTGGTCCATTAAAGTAGCTCAGATCCACGTCTGGGAGCTAACGCGGGTTAGCTGAGAAGCCAGGTAGCTCACACTGTTCCCAGCTGGGGGCGACCATACGGCCCCGGGGCCGATCGGCTAGCCGCCAGTTCCCGGGCCGGTGGCCCAGAGCGCCTCTCTTGGGGCTAAAAGCAGGTCCCAGAGGACATTGGGACCTGGCAGCGTGCAAGTAAGCCTCAGTATCTTGGCATCTGTAAGGAATGTGCTCCTGGCCTTATCTTTGTGGGCTGTGCCCTGGAGAGATGGCGCTTTGTCGGCTCCAGTGGCCCCATGGCGGCATTGGGGTGCTGGGCAGGAGGAGAGCTGGTGCTGGTGCCCAGGTGCCCGCCGCTGGGGCACTGCGTGCGTGGACCTGTTGCGTGGTTGGAACTGCCATCAATGTCCGCAGTGGCTCCCGCTGCGAGTCAGCCCTGCGCTGCCTCCCCCTGAGCCACCGCAGAGCTCGCTGGGGTCTGTCCCTCTCTCTCACTGATGCCGTACCTATTCAGAGTTGTTTACGAAAATTAATCATCTGCCGGGCCGAACTTGTCCAGTGACAGATGCTGATTGTGCTTTTAGGAGGGTCGGGGCAGGGGTAGATGCTGAACTTTTAACCCTTGAATTTGCCTCAGGACTTTAGTTTTAACTGTTAAACCCAGGTGTATGTAGGCAGTAAGCCTGTGGCAATCCAAGGGTTCAGGAAATGGAAGACTGCTGGGGGGCGGGGAGAGAGCCTAAAGACCGGAGCCTTGGAATGCAAATACCTTGTTTGTCCTTTGGTAACGCTTATGCCCTGTCATTTTCAAAGACGCTCTGGTCAGATGTTTCGGTTTGTTGGAACACGGACAGATAACGATCTTCAGCGCTGACAAGAGTTTTTCTCACCATCTCAAGTGATGTTCCTCTTGAATTAACTTTCCTTGGTTCCCATGGCTGCCTCTGTGTAATCACGAAGATTACCCCTCACTAGGATCAGAGCACCCCCCCTCCCCTAATTTAATTCAGTAGGAAAACCATCCAGTTCCCTCAGGCATGTATTATTTTGCAGGCATTTTCAAACACACGGTCTGGTTTTTTAGCTTCGCTATGTTTTACTTAAATAGTAAGCTCACTGCTTTAAGTTGTTTAATTTTTGAAACGTAGCAAATGTTACTTAATGCTTTTCAAGGGATTTGAGATGCAGTTATTAAAAGACTTAGTAAAAAGCTCTTGACTATAAACTTTGCAGTGCTTTCTGTACTATTTATTTGTGTTTTATTGTGGCATGGGAAGCTTTCTTGGGGTTGGCTTTTCATTCCCTTCTGCAGTTTGTGAGATTTCCTGTAATGCTGGAGAATCTTGCTTGGCATAGGAGATTGAGAGTTGTGGACGTGTCAGGTATTTCTACAGGTGGTCAACGACAACTCAGAGGCTCAAAATGCAGTCTGATGGCATTCTGTAAATACAGTAAATAAACATTTCAAAACCAAAGGATGGCCTTGTTTATTGACAAGTATTGCTCTCACAGCCTTAAGTCGAGGTCCTGTAAAATGGGTTTCTCTCTGTCATGTTTCACCCTGACCGTTGGGTTTGTACATGCCAGACAGGAACGACCACCTTAAGAGCCTGTTTGTTTCACTCAGCTTTTCCTTGGGCTGGCCGTTGTTCATGTTTGAGATCTGTGTAACCCATTACTATTGCTTTCTGTCCCCAAACTCCAACTCCTGTCTCCTCACCACTGTGTCACTACTCTCGATGGAAAGCTTCAAAGGTCCTTAGTGTGGTGGCCATACCAGCTGCATGTTTTATGGCCTACAATTTGGGAGCACAGCCCAACGGGAGGCCTGCGCCCTCTACCTGGGCAACAGGCTTTGGGATAATGATAGACACCTACGCTCCACTGAAAGGCCGGCAGCCTCTCATTTGCTTGAGCATTTTCATTTACAAATTGAGTCCGGGAATTGCGGTGATTTTCCTCAGGGCCCTGCGCCTTATGAGATGCAGTCTCTGGCCTCCCCCATTTATTGAAGTGTCAGACCACTGCAGTCACACTGAACGTGGAGGAGGAGTCTGGCCTCTCCTGTTTCTCACATCCATCAAACCTTTAGCTATTCGGTCCCTCCCCTTTGAGTCATGTGATTTAAACTTGGCCTTGTTAAACATTTATTGAAGTACCATTACTTACTAGTTACTAGGAATCTAGAGATTAAAGAAGCTATGATTCTTACGAGCTGATCCCAGCCCTGTGGAGAGGCTGATGACTTAAATACAGATGTTGTGACTGTGGGGTGGAGCGTGTACCTCACTTCATCAGCCTGCTCACCAGCCACAGACATGTTGGTCACTTAGCTCATCGACCTCAGAAGCGGTTCTGCTCTGTGGTGGCTTCTCAGCAGTGCAGGCAGAGGGTCAGGGCCCTCATCTTGAGCTTGGCTCTGCTTGGGTGACCGTCATTCCGTCTGTCTGCTGCCTCCTCCTCCACCTGTCCCTGCACCTAGATTCTTTAGGTGTCTGTCCTAAGACAGGCTCACTTTTGCCTCCTCAAAGTGCCTGCATGCTTTTGTTCTCTCCCATAAGCAGAGACCCTTACCCTTGTGCCCAGGAGGTCTTGCTCAATAAACAGTTACTCTTCTAGAGTTTTCTGTTGTCTCCTCTTTGCCTTTTGCTAATCTTTTGTTGATTGCCCGATGAAAGTGTTTCCAACACTCATCATTCTTTCTCATACCCTAACTTATTTGTTTTCTAGTTCTAGAGCACTTACCGTGACCTAAGTTCAAACCATTTTATGCTTACGTGTTCCTTGTATGTCTACCCGATGAAATCACTATGTCCGTAAGGGCAGGGGTGTTCATGTGAACCTAGGCCACAGTGTGGTACACTGTGGGCCCTCAAGTGCTGTTGCATTAATGACTCCTTGCGTGTTGACATCAGAAGGCTGCCTTACCTTGGCCATCATAATTCCCTTTCCTGTGGCCTGACTTATTAGGCTGTTGAAACTAGTCAGCCCCTTTCAAAATCACTTGTCTTTCCTTGGAAGGTTTTGTCCTCCATTTCTTCTGCACCATCTCTGACCATCTTTGAAATAATTCTTATATATTATGAACATTTGCCATGACTATGAGTTCAATTTCAGCACCTTCCGCAAGGGGCTGTCATCCCCGTTTAGAAGAAGTTAGCCATGTTTCAGTTAAGTCTTTTCTTTGGAAGTGGTTTTTCTCCTTACAGTTCCATTTCTCAGGGATGGGGCAGCCATTTTTTTCCTGTTCCCAAGGTCCATGCATTTAACTTTGATAGACCTCCCCCGCATCTTGTCATCACAGTCTGTTGTTTTTTTCTTAAAATGTCATCTTTCCTCTCAGTTTCTTGTACCCACCTCCTTGGCTTCACCTGCTTTCATATTGCATTTTGGTTCTCTTTTACCAAGGCTCTCTGTATCTTGTCATGAAGGGACAGTGGGGTCCACATGTTGGGATTTTAGATCGTTCAAGACAGAATTCTGTGTCTTGGATGCTCTCCTCCAGCCTTAATTCTGCACGTGTTAAAACACTGCTTACGTTATAGCCCAAGTCTGAGGGTTGAGATCAGTGCAAATGAAGATCTTTCTGAATACTGTGGCAAGAACTTATTATTATGGTGTTCCCAGGTTTGTTAAACCCAAATTAAAGTTTTGATATTATTTCCAGCAATTAAAAAAAATCACACACCCTGTGATGTTTTGATGGCTTTATAAATGAGTAATTATTGCCTAGCCTTCTGAGCACTCCTTTTATTAGCTAATGGGGAAAGAGTAGACTTGGCTGTGTGAGAGTCAGGTGATGACTGACTTCGGAAGAGCAGAGAGTCTGCTGTACTTCATCAGAGAAATGAAGAGCAGGAAGGGGACCCGCCTCTGTGGTGTAGTTATTCAGAATTAAAACCCACCTGTACCTGGCTAATAGGGTATCATCTGCAAAGTTACGTAATTGCTCTGTGATATCAAGTTACTGTTGAGGTCTCCTCTCTTGTCTTTATTGGATTTTTGGAATTGCTCTACTTTATAGTTACGTAAGAAGAGCTAAGGCATAGGGATGACACACCTATATACTTAAATGAGTGTATAATAAAAGTAACTCAATTATTCAATGAAAGACCAGTTACACATTTAAGGAACGTGAGTGTTTACAGCAAAGAGGATCGAAAGAGATATTTTCCCTACTGATCCACACACTTATCAAGTTAGAGAAACAGTTCATTTCTCAGACATCCTGTTGTTACTGTACAGTTGAGCCTTAATTGCTTCCTGATTGTTTTCTCTGTCGGTTCACACCTTCCCCATAGATTTCCTCATTCCCTACACTTAAAGGTGAGAAAACCAAGCTAGAGAGGTTGTCATTTCCCCAGGTTACATAGTATCTGTGACAGAATTATTATAGCCACCCCTTACTTCGTAGTTGGTTCTTCACACAAACCGTTTTTCTTACGCCGTATGACAGACCATTTTAGCCATTATAATTTCAGGTTTTCAAAAGTAGAAAAAGACTTAAGAAACTTAAGAGGCATGGGAACATGTGGACGCCCCCCCTCCACCACCTGTGACCTACTGGTGGGGGAGAGGCTGGCAGTGGGGACATTTAGAAGCCACTATAAGAGGCTGCTAGCGCTTTGAGGAGTTTTATACTTTGGGGGAAATGAGAGAGGTTTTAGAGGAGGTGATTCAGAAGAGGCGAAGAGGAGGGAAGAAGTGCATTGTGTCTTGTTCCAGGTGTGGAGATTGAGGGGGTCACCTGAGTGGTGAAGGCC